TGATTATTCTCAATGTCATTCTTTAATCTCTTTTACTCTATTTGTGTATCTAATAATCAAGACAGATTTCAGTCATATTACTATCATTATTATCTGTCTACATTACTTTAGTTATCCATGATCGTTTTTTTTCTTTCTTTTTCTTTTCTTTTTCTGTTGTTCTTTTACTTTTCATCACTTGGGAACTGTCATTGAACAAGACAAGTATACTGTCAACTAGAAATGTATTCTATTGAGATCTTTTTTAGAAGACAAAGACTGTTCATAAAAATCTGAGTTCGTGTTTATGCAAATCGGTCTATTGTTTTTTTTTTCTGTTTTATTTCACTAATACATTTGTCCTTCGTCGACATGTATATAAATATCGTCTGAGGTCTACTTAATAAACGACTACAAATAGTAGGTCGTTTTTTTTTTAATAATAAAACTACTCCGATGAGTTTGTCTAAAGAATCAGAAAAAAGACCTTTTAGCTTTTCTCTTTTTTTTTTGCTTAAATCTATATTGTAACTCAATGGACTACATTAGAAAAAATTATATATAATTGGCGCTTTTTTTATTCTTAGTATTAATAGAATGGCTCATGCATGTTCAAAAACATTTCTATCTATACTTAATACTCTATTAATTATATTTGGGATTGTCTTGATCGTTCTAAGTTTATATAGATATAATAAATATCAATCAATTCAATTGATAATCGGTATTATTATTCTTGCTTTTTTTATACTATTTATAGGTATTTTGGGATTAATTGGCGCAGTTAAGCAATCAAAATGTGGTAAATATATTTTTATTATACTAATGGCATTCTGTATATATATATATATCTTTGAAGCTTTATCTGTGTATGTAATTTTTATTGCACCTATCACATTGGCACTTCTAACCATGCTTATTATACTTTATCTAAAACAAAATTGGCTCATAAATGCAATCATTAATAGTTATGAGAAATATGTAACAAGTTCACAATTACTCGATGATGAAAAAAATGTTGATATGACACGTGCTTCGTGAGTATTCTAAAACATCTTATATATTTCTTTTTGCTTGTATTATTTCAGTCTTATTAAACTACAATGTTGTGGTTTTAAAGAAAAAAATCGCCCACAAAAAATATTTAATCAAATTGACTTTTGTAATATTATTGATACATCAAAACCATTATGTGATGAAAAAATGAAAAATGATCTTCATCAAAATTTAGTTCCAGTTATTATCATACATGCTATTTTGACGGGCTTAAGTACTTTAGTTTGCATAGTGGCTACATATTTGGCATGTGTTACAAGCAATGAGACATAACATGATACTTTTCAAAGTCGATATAACTAAATACCAATACAAGCAATTTATATATATATATATATATATATTGAGATAGAGAAAAGACCCATCATTTGTCACATTGTCGTCTTTCTTTTCTTTAGAGACTGTGATATATATACATATATTATAAACAATAAGAAGGCATAGAAATGAATTATAAGGCGGCGACGCGACGACCTCGGACCGACACTAGTCGTGATAAGTGAATTTATTAGTACTCTTCTTTTCTTTCTCATTTCCTTTATTTGAATGATCGAATGTTAAGATTCATAAGCATCCGATTTCTCGTGTATGTTACGGCTGGATAGTTACGTAAGAAGACTGATAGAATTACGCATAGATATGTATATAAGCAGTTTTTTTCTGTCTTTATTTGCAAGTGTTGATGCCGGTAGTGATACGATGTAATAATATTCAAGATGTCTTTCTTCGTTCATATCTATGTAAGTTTCTTACTGATGAAGTTAGAAATGAGATTATCGCGCAAGTGCGTTATGTTCTCTCTCTCCTCGTTTCTCTTTTACTAACATTCTCATTTAGTTAGCGAGTGTCATTGATGAAATCTCATTTTTCAAGTTGTACTCTCTCTCTCTCTCTATCTATCTCTTATATGTTAGTTTATATCTTTCTATCAGCCCTTGTCTCTCTCTCTCTCTCTCTTTCTCTCTCTCCCTCCATATATGAGAAAGGATCACCCGTTGTGCTTGTCACGCTCTCATTTTCTATTAGAATGAAAGAGAAAAGGAATAAAGGGAAGAAGATAGTAGATAATTTGTCGATGTTCCAATGTATCTGCTGCCGGCGGCTAATGTCCTTGACGTTGGTGAAACACCATCAGGAAACTCTTATTGCCGTCAATACTTTCCTTGAATGTGAGTCGAACTACGTCGTAAGATGTATATGAAATTTAATAGATCGAACAAAAGCACGTTCTTGTTTTACACTTCGGTATTCATTTAAACGAAGCATATAGATGAATATTAGACAAATACTGACGTTCATGCAATAACTATGAAGATTATTAAATAAACTATCTATTCGAAATATGAAAGTAATGATGTGTAGATGATAATCTTAAATCAATAAATATATATATATATCTTTTTTTATCTGTTCCAATCATCGAATCTCGTTTTTTTCTATCAGATAAAAAGTTTCGACCTACACAAATATATATTTTCAACGTTTTTTCTTTATTTTTTCAATATCATGAAGTAACATTTTCTTTTTTTTTTGCTTGCTTTCTATATCTTTTCTTCACTTCCTCTTGTCGGAATGAACGATTGATGTTGACACGGACATCCGGACATAGTCAAGTCTTCACACTATAGCTTCGCCTACATCCGTTCATATTATTGTCTATTGCACACGTACTTATAAATCTATACTTATTCGTTTTTTTTTTTGTAGAAAAAAATCCGATGCTATTGACTACGAATCATTGGCTTTCATCTATGATGATCAATGGAACAAGAAACGATATACGCTTTAATAGTGACAATAATAATAATGTACAATTTTTGGGATATATTGAACCTATGTGGGCTAGTTTATCATTGATTACCAGTAAGTAACAATATTTAATTGATTTAAAAGAAAAACATTCAGAATATTAATTTAATCGATTGTATATATATCTGATAAAATTTATTGCTAGGTTTTCATTATTATTTTGTTTTATTTTCATTTAGGTGTTAGTATTAGTAAAAACTATTTGTATACTATTAACAAAAAAATAAAAAAGCTTATTGATAACCATCTTTAGTTTCTATATTTTTATCATTATTAAAAAGAAATGAAATCATAAATGTGAGAGAGAAATCAATATTCATAAGTATAAATCTAGCTGAATAAGCGATTCAAGCTTTTCAGGACATTTTTATATCAAAATAATAAGCCATTCAATACTAATAAGAATACTAAAAAAAAACGGAATAAAAGAAAAAAACGTCATATACATGAATATCCTGAAAACGGAAATGGATAAGACCTGATTTTTTTCTATAAAAAGAAAAAAAAATATCAATAATGAAAAGTTTATTAAAAAAAGAAACAGTGTTAATTATATCAAATTTATAATTAAATATTAAATTTCTTATATATTTTAGTTATTTTATTTACTGTATGTGGTAATAGTCTTGTATGTATTGCTGTTATACGTGAAAGACATTTACAAAATACTACTAATTATTTTTTAACATCACTTGCTTTTACTGATTGTCTTGTGGCATGTCTTGTTATGCCATTAGCTGTTACTGTTGAACTTATTGGACATTTTCCTTTTAATGCATTAGCTTGTAATGTTTGGTTAACATTCGATGTTTGTTGTAGTACATCTTCGATATGGCATATGAGGTAAAAAAAAATTTATTATTTCAAAGATTTTGATTTCTATTTTATATATTAGTGTTATGTCACTTGATCGTTATCTCACATTGAGATATCCACTAAAATATGGACGAAATAAACGACGAAGTTTAATGGCTTATAAAATAATAACAATATGGTAAGAAAAAAAAGAAACAAAAAGAATATTGTTGTCGTTATTCTTTTTGTTTTTTGATTTTTCTTTTAAATATAATAGATTTATTTTCTATATAGGTTAATATCATTTGGTATTTGTTTACCATTATTTATACTTGGTCTAGTTGATTCATCAAATGTATATAATGAAACAACACGTGCATGTTTTCCAGCTCATCGAACATTTAAAATCTATGGTTCATTCGTTGCTTTTTTTATTCCATTAATTATTATGATTGTTACGTATGCATTAACAATGAGTGCATTACAACAAGCACATACAACAAAAAAGAAGCGTCATACAAGACGACAAAAAATGCATGCTGTTATTAATTTAGCAGCAATGGCTATGAGATGGAAACGAGCAGTTAATAATGATAATATTGATGAAAATAAAACTTCTATACAATCAACATCAATAAGAACAAAACAAAATATTCAACGATTAAGTTTAATATCTGTACCATTAAATTATCAACGTAAACGTGCATCATCATTACTTGTTAATGAACAATATTCATCAAATAATAAACATTTATCAAAACGAATATTTGTTTCTCATCATCGTCTTAATGAAACATTAAAACCATTAGCACCAATAACATGGTATAAACGACGAGAAAAACATCTTCAAACATTACCTGAAAAATCGAGTAAATAAGAGCAAAAAAAAAAAAAATGTTTTTTGTTTTTTTTTTTGTTTAGTTGAACAATCATCTCCATCATCAAATCGTCATATTGATCTTGATTTACCAATAAATATTAATACACATACAAAACGTTCTCATTCATATACACCATTACTTGATGTTGAAGATCGTCGAAAAGATCGACGACGAAGTTCATCTGTTCATACATTACTTCAAATACGTCGAGATTCAGCTAAAATTAGTGAGGAACTTGCTAATTTAACAGCTCAATTATCTGCAACTGTAGATAATGGAAATTTATTAAACAATCGACCATCACTTTCTATTCCTCATACACTAAGACATGAAATACCAACAATTAATCAATTACTTGCTCCAAGAAATATTAATCAATCAATTGTTAGTTCGCCTTCATATCTTACTGTTGAGTCGAATGGTATACCAGCTGCTACTGATCAAGAACAACGTGGACGTTCGTAAGTTATTTTTCTTTTTTAGAAAATATAAAATAAGAAGTAACGAACATAGGCGTAGAAGTTTCTTTTTTTTTTTTCTTTTCTTAAGTCATAGCAGATGAAACTACAAGACTTAAATAAACTTGAACATTTGTTTCTTGTCACATTAGATTGATAGATTTGTTCTTACATGAACTTGAAATTTTCATTAGACAAGATAATGAGATTTTTATTACTGAATATCTGATCATATATCAGCAATGCCTTGAAATGACATTTTCTTTTATTATAAATAAATAAGAACTATTGAAGAAATCTGAGCTAGATAAATTAAAAGCTATTACTAAACAATTTTTTTGCCTTTAGCAACTAAGCTCAGATGTTTATTAAACATTTTCAGTTTAGTCTACAAAATGACAATACAATTTCTTTTGTTTTTTTTGTAAACATTACTTCAAGGATATTATTATTCTTTCTTTTTTGTTTTTCAGTAAAACGAATTAAAGAAAATTTAAATTCAATGAAAACAAACATTGATATTTTTCTTTAAATAAATGTACGTTGATAGAAGTTTTGAATCTGTAAAGTATGAATTCAAAACCTGTAGCATTAATTTTGTTTCATCAATATGAGGATAGAAGAAAAAAAAAACGTTTATCGCTTCCGCTCATTTTTCCAACCTTCTAGCACAGATGTTATAAATAATTTTGAACTTATCCGGAATTTAAAAAACATTCTCCCACCTATGCCTGAGGCTACATATTTCTTTTCTTTTAGTCATAGTGCAGGAATTCAATTATTATCATATGAATCAAATGATGATAAAATAACTATGAATAATGGTTTACCTATTCCAAATCTCCTTGTTACACATGATAGTATACATAATTTACAAGCAAATATAAATAACAATAACAATAATAATAATAATAATAATCCAGCACATCTTGATATTAATTATAATCATGAACCTATTACACGTCGTCTTACATCACCATCAAAATTAGACTCAACATGTCAACGTATTAAAGATTGGATTACTATTACAACATTTTCAACAGCTCTTAATCAAGATTCACCTGTAAAATCACGTTGCACATCAGCTATGAATGTTACAGAAACAACACCAATGTTATCAGAACAAAAACAATATTCATATTATTCTCCATTATCAAATCTTAAACGATATTTTCCTCGTATTGAACAATTATATGGACCAACATCAGCACCAAATTCATTAATTCGTTCTCAACAACAACAACAACAACAACTTTTACTTGTTGATGATCATGTTGCATCTGTTCATAATTTTGCTGCTTTGCAACGAAGTAGTGTTTGTTCAATAACA